TTTAACATATTCTAAAGAGCTAATGCGTTTGTTCAAACATTCAGTTGCGCCGACCTTTCACTCCTGCAGTTTTGCAAGTCAAGTGCTAAGTATTCACTTAAAGGGCTGATGCTCACCGCGAATTGCCTGAAGACAAGCTCCACGGAGCAACCTTCTCAAGTGTGTGTGTTCATCGGAAACACCACCGGTTTGGGACGCTTTGGGAGTGTGTCCTATCGTTTCCTATCGATTCCTGGGTGTGTGTTCACCTCTGAATTTCCCAGGTTTCCTTTTGGGAGGCTCCAGGTTCGCTTCCATGAAACCCTGAACTTGAAGACTATACTGTGAAAAGGGGCTGTCGAATCCCAACGAAGACGTTCCGAGCCAGGAAGAAAGGAGAATGTCACATGGAATGACCTGATAGGTCTCTATACAGCTCACGAACTGCCATCCCACAATCATATTTCAGCATAGGTTCTACCAATTCTACCAGAAGTTCCAAGAAATTTGTGCCTAGTTCTCGCAGTGTAGAGGAGTGCCCCTGATCCACTCACATAGTACGTAAGGACTTGAACACCCCGCTATGACCTGGAGTCATTCTCGGTATCTTATGCACAGCGAGTCACGAATGACTCATGTGGGCCGAAACCATCTGAACCATCTGAGGTGAGGATGATTCATCCGGCGATGAAGGCATGGTAATGATCACTTGAATATATTCACATCCAATATACCACACATTAGCATACATTACCATACCCAAACCACACATTAGCATACGTACATGTACCAGTATACCTTACGCCGTGGTGTGATGATCCCATGATCCCCATCAATTCCACAGTTCCCACTGCCCCTCCACTGCCCCTCCAAACCCCGAAAAAACGCCTCGCCTCGGACGGAGACGCGCGACGGCCGCTGAGACGACGCTCGCTGCTGCTCTCGTCGAGACGGGCCTGGTAGGTCTCAGTGCCTTCGTCCCAAGGGCCAAGGCCAGCTTTCAAAGAACTGTTCCCCGGCACGCGCCTTGGAGCAGCGAGTCCTCTCTCGCAGAGCGCGAGCGGTGTTCGCGCGAGCGAGACGAGAACGCGAGAACGCGAGCGGGGTTCCACGAGCGGTGTGGAGCGTGAGCGTGAGCGGGGGGCTCAAAAAGAGGTGGACGAGAAGACCCGCGGAGTGCGAGCGGAAGCGGAGTGGAGGTCTCGGATCCGGAATCGAGTGGGCGGCAGTTTCGTTTCAAGGTACTGGAAGACCTGAAGCAAAGCCTCCGGTTCTGTTGTTTCTGTTGCTGTATACTCCTAGCACCCCCTACCAGTAGTAGGATAGAGGGGTCATACCGCTGGAAGAAGCAAGGTGTGATCCATTGATGGATGGGCAGGAGTCTTCCTCCACACTTTCTGGGATATCATCAAAAGCATTCGGTGGTCAACATCGGCTCAGCATCTGCATCTGTCATCTGGGACTGGAAGATTTGAGGACAACAAAACAAGATATAGGAAGCACATAGGAACATCTTCCAACAGGAACGACATGGGTGTGTATTGAAATAGTGAGGCCTCCCAAAGAGCCCCTGGAAGAAGGAAAACAGACCCAAACCATCCCAAACCCATCCAAAACCCGGTTGGGGATCTCCCACATAGGTGTTTCGCTTTTCTTTTTCCCCGTGGCACATGTGTGGCACATGGGTAGCACGTCATCCCAGTCGGACTCGCCCGACTGGACTCCGTGTCGCTGTGCGTGAAAAACGTGGGCGATGGTCGTGAATTAATAGCAGCACCCAAAAGGACACAATTCACTGCTGTTCCAAAGCGGGGATGGCTATCAGTACTAGTAGCAGATAGAGTGTCCTCCTTATTTCCTCTTCTACGTAATTGCAATGCCATTGATGGCTATACTCCTGGTCGCAAGCACTCTTCCTGGCTTACCGTGCTGAAGGCTTGACCTTCAACTGCTTGTCTAGCAGGAGCAAGTGATGCTGGCATAAACCTACGTCACACTGTAACTTCTATATACATTATAACATTTACAAGTAATTCCACCCCAACACCATAGAATTCAGGAAACATTCCAGGCTTCGACATCATCTGTTCTCAGTGTACACCTGCATCAGACACCCGACACCCGGTCGATGTTGCCAGCTTCCGCCGCACCGGTCGGTGCGGAAGGACCAAGGCACACAAAGGGCAGCATGTCGTCCACCGGAGTCTCTCCTGGCAGTCAGAAGCGACGGAGCTACGTAGCAACCATGGCATTACGTAGCAAAGAGCTACGAACGTAGCGTCCTTGTTTCTAACAGAACCGAAAGACTTGTGGATGCAACACCGGGCCCTGCCAGTCCCTGCCGGCGCAAGCCCGCCGGCGACATAACCGGGTCACCGTAGCCCAAAGGGAAAAAAGGTACTCGTTGACTCCGAACACACCCCAATAGTAGGTATAGATATGCCATATTGTGCCACATGAAGTGTCGGGGTTTTACTACAGTCGCATCCCTTTCTCGACATCAACCCCCGATCTGATCCGATGAGAACTTGTCCGACAGAACTTGACCCAATCTTTAAACCCTAGGGCTCCAACCACCTTCTCAGAAGGTAGTTAGACCCCTCAAACCCACCCGAACCACCTTCTCAGGAGGTGGTTGGAGCCCTAGGGAAAGACAGTCGGATGTCCCTCTGCCCGCGCCCCCACACGGGTCCCGGTTCGGGTCCCGACTTCGGGTCCAGAGATCGCCAGGTTCGGCGTGTGGCTGGGACCACGAGTTCGGCGTAGACCCCCATGACACGAGTTCGGGCTCCCGGCGGCATTGAGATCCTGTACCCTATATAGGGCTCCAGTCGTAGCTCCTCAGAAGGTATTTAAGACTCTCTAAAACCCACCCCAAACAACTTCTGAGAAGGTACGACTGGAGGGGGCCAAGATCATCCCATTGGGTCAGGTCTTGAAGCTGATCTCAATGGGGATTTCCAGACATCTCCGTCAGCCTTTCCATATACAGATGCGATCACGTGCCGCATCGTGCCGCCAGGTACTGCCATTCCCTGGCTGTTCCAGTTGTTCCAGGTTAGAATGACCTGCACCCCAGCGTGGTGAAACCCAAGATCTAGTGGCATCTAGTCAATCATCCAGTGGCAAAGTCGATGCATCATAGTGGAATCCAGTCAATCGTAATGCAGTGGAATGTGGTAAGAGAGACATGGTGGGCAGCATCTCACTCCACCTGCCAGGTGGGCAGCATGCTGCTGCTGCTCCGTCATGGATGGTCGACCGGGCCCGACTGGCACATTCGCCGATCAATTGCAGTGGTTGGGAGGTCAATGTGATATAAATAGGCCAGTCCCAGCCAGTATCATTAGTCACTGTCTGGGTTCAATTGTTAAATCCTGGTCCGGAACATGGTCAAAGCCTGCGAACGTGACTCTTTAGATCTGGACCTTTTCGCCCTTGGATCTGGACCTTGAAACGCCCCAGCTTCGCGAACATTGAGGCTTGGCCGCCCTCCGCCCTCCGACCCGCTCCGGATCCGGCCTCCAGCTCCGCAGGTTTCGTTCATCCGGATCAGGCCTGGAAGGCCGGCGCCGGAGCCGACTGACACGACGTAGAGCAGCGTGGCGGAAGCGACGGACGAGCGGGCGTTCTCAGCTTCGTTTTTCACGTTGCGAGGCGGGATCGGCTTGGTGCCGCGAAGGGATTGTAGGTCACCAGGCATGTGTCTTCCCAGGGGATGGTGTTTGGACCGGCATTCGGCATTCCCACATAACATCCATATGCCGAGGGTCACTGAGCTGGAGGTAGCATTCTACAAAGGACCACTGAAGACGGTGGGTCGACCCTCACACCAACTACCTATATGGGCACTGGATCTCACTGGCACTATCAGAAATCAAATTGTCCAAACATGCGTGGGGTTACAAACTGCTGCAACATGGTTCATGAGCGGGTCTCTTGCAGCCAGGAATCCACTATTATACACGCAACGGGATTAACCTTTTGGATTGGCTCAAAAAGACTTGCAGTGCTGAGTACTCGCACTCCCAGTGAGACGATCTTCATCAAACCATTCCAAGCTGAAACGTTCCCCATCCCAACAAAACCCTATAAACCCTTATCCCTCACTCCCATCCCATCCTCTCGACCCAAAAAAAAACACCCTCCCCAACCCGACACCACCATTCGATGGCGCCATGTGGCGGATCCGGTCGGTGAGCCGGAACGCCGCACCGAAGAGTGCCAAGTCGAAGGGCACCCCAGCCTGGCCGCGGCTCCGGAGACCCTTCCCCCGCTGAGACGACGGAGACCGAGACCGAGACGAAGACCGTGGCGCGCGCGCCAAGGAGCGCAGATGGCCTTTTTGATGGCGCGGCTCCGGAGGTTCGTGACCGGTGACGGAAAGGCCCATGTCAAGGAGTGCCGAGGAGGTTGACAGTGGGGTGGTGGCAGTGACATACCGAGGTGTTGAGACGCGAAATTGAGGGATGGGGAGGAGGAGAGCCGATGATGTCTATTATGTGTATAGTATATGTATATATTATATGTGCATGTATAATAGCACATAGAAACACCAAACTTTCTCAGTCGCCCAGCTGCAAACGACTGTCACGCAATTCCTCCCAGACGAGAAGTGTGGGGGGGTGAGAAACTCCCCCTGGTTTGATTGGGTGACCGCTTGGTCTGAAAGACCATCAGTGTTGACCCGCGATGTCGCAAGCAGGTTTGTTGTCAAACGTGTGAATGTTTATCCATGGCATTAGCCAGACACGACTAATGGGACTGGCAAAAGTTCCCTACATTGGGGTGGTTGAAAAATGGGTCAATGTATGCAAGTATGCAGTGTCTGGGGTCTATCCATGGCAATTATTATACCTTGGTCGGGAGTATAGCCCGTGACATCAACAAGCGCGGCCCGGCTGATCCCAAGACTATGAGGGTTCACTACAAATGTCACCAAGACTGCCAAGACTCATGGAGGCGCACAAAGTGTTGCCAACCAACCAACCAACCAACCAACCAACCAAGCAAGCAAGCAAGCAAGCAATGAAACAACCCATCAACCAAGACTCTGCTCCAACCTCACCTCCACCCAGCCAAACTATCGCTGTTATCGGATCGTGCTGGTCATCGGCATGTATGGGGTCGCTGATTCGTCAGGTTGGCATCCAGGGCCGAGAAATGCAGCAAACATCCATCCCCTAGGGATTCACGGATCCACCTTCCCAGGTTGCGCTGCACTGGACCCTGCAAAGGTATACATGAAAGTGTCCGATCATGGCGGACAGGAGGTGGAGGGAAGGCGGATCAATCCAAACCCTGATCCACCGACCAAGGTATTCATCCTAAGACATCCACGGTGGATGCACGGTGGATCCGATGAGTCATGGAGTCACGGTGGATCGCATCGAAGAGCGACCTGAGCAGCGACCTGACCAGTCCCAGTCTCCGCTCTACTCACGAGCGAAGGTAGACCTCCAAATGAAAGAACCAGGTGCAAGTCCAAACCTGGCTTAACAAACAAATGATAAGAGAATCAGAGAATCAACAAAAAGCAATCAGTGTGTCTCTGTTAATATTACACCACCGTAGACCCCAAACAGTTTGTGTTTTTCGAATCGGAACACTCTGCAGCCTGCGACGTCCAGAGCTGGGAGACAAAGGATTGCAAGGCAGAGGCGGCCACAGCAGTCCAGAGCTGGGAGACAAATGTAGACACAGGGAGACAAATGTGCAAGCGAGATGGAGACAAATGCAAAGGCTTGCGAGGACACATGTAAAGGATTGCAAGGCAGAGGCGGACACAGCAGTCAGAGCTGGGAGACACATGTAAAATTAAGGATTGCAAGGGAGAGGCGGACACAGCAGCCCAGTAAAGGATTGCAAGGCAGAGGCGGACACAGCAGTCCAGAGCTGGGAAGAAGAGGAGACAAATAAAAGGAAGTGGGAGACAAGCCAGCCGGGAACCCGACCAGAAGCACCCAGCCTGGGAGACAAATGAAAAGAACTGGGAGACAAGTGAAAAGAAGTGGGAAACAAATTAGCCCAGCTGGAGACCCCAATAGCAAGATACAAACCGGGACAAAAAGAAAAATCTGGAAACAGCTGCTGTTTTCAACACATCGACCATCTCTTCCTTGGACACCATGATCACATAACCGGGACACGATCACAAAATGACCAGGGCACCATCAAAACATGACCGAGACACCGTCACAACATGATTGGGACACCATCACAACATAACCAGGACACCATCACAAGGTGACCGGGACACCAGCATGACATGACGGGGACACCATCACAACATGACCGGGACACTATCACAACATGACCGGGACACCGTCACATGACCCGAACACCATCAAAACATAACCGGCACACCGCCAAAACATGACCAGGACACCATCAACACATGACCGGGACACCATCAAAACATGACCGGGACACCGTCACAACATGAGCGAGACACCATCACAACATGACTGGGACACCGTCACAACACGACTGGGACACAATCACAACATGACCGGGACACCATCACAAGGTGACCGGGACACCAACATGACATGACGGGAAAACCATCACAAGATGACCAGGACACCATCACAACATGACCGGGACACCGTCACATGACCCGGACACCATCAAAACATAACCGGCACACCGCCAAAACATGACCAGGACACCATCACAACAGGACCGGGACACCATCAAAACATGACCGGGACACCGTCACAACACGACCGGGACACCATCAAAACATGACCGGGACACCATCACAAGATGACCGGGACACCATCAAAACATGACCGGGACACCATCAAAACAGGACCGGGACACCATCACAACATGACTGGGACACAGTCAAAACATGATCGGGACACCATCACAAAATGACCGCGCCACCATCACATGATCGGGACACCATCAAAACATGACCGGGACACCGTCACAACATGATCGGGACACCATCACAACATCACCGCGCCACCATCACATGATCGGGACACCATTACAACATGACCGGGACACCGTCACAACACGACCGGGACACCATCAAAACATGCCCGGGACACCATCACAACATGACCGGGACACCATCACAACATGACCGGGACACCTTCAAAACATGACCGTGACCGGGACACCATCAAAACATGACCGGGACACCATCAAAACAGGACCGGGACACCATCACAACATGATTGGGTCACAATCAAAACATGATCGGGACACCGGGACACCAGCATCACATGACCCGGACGCCATCAAAACATGACCGGGACACCATCCGCCCACCAGCTCTGACGGTGACCCAACGGCGCCCGTCCGCCTATTAGTTTTGCAAGACCCCATAGCATGGCTATTGGGAATGAAAGGAAGTGGGAGACAAGCCAGCCGGGAACCCCGACCTGGGAGTGGGAGACAAGACGGCCGGGAATCCGACCAGACCATCCAGCCTGACCAAAAGCGTGGGAGACAAATGAAAAGAACTGGGAGACAAGTGAAAAGAAGTGGGAGACAAATGAAAGGAAGTGGGAGACAAGCCAGCCGGCAACCCGACCACAAGCACCCCGCCTGGGAGACAAATGCAGAACTGGGAAACAAATGAAAAGAAATGGAAGACAAAGAACTGGGAGACAAATGAAAGGAAGTGGGAGACAAGCCGGCCGG